TAACCATAATAACCGCTAACGACTGAGAGTTTCTCCACGGCGGGAACTTCCGGAAAGGGGACGGCGGGCGTTCGTCTTGCCCATGGAAAACGACCTTAACGGCTGGCGTGGCTGAAACGTTAAATGTCGATTACAGACTGGCCGACAGCTCGGAATTTCACTCGGAAAGTTTCACTGGTTACGCAGGGGCTAACTAGTCGGTCTTGTTATCAGCCTCGCGTTGAACCACGATATTTCCCCATCCAGAATGCACCGAGATGAAACATTTCGTTTAGTGGAAAGGAAGAAGTTCCGAAGATGTTGTTTCCTACACTTCAGCTAGTTCCTCTTTGTATTATTATATTAACCCTCATATGTCCCTTGTGTTAATTTCACACAAATATTTTCCTGAGTAATTATGTCATTCTGTCATGTGTAGGTAAACTTAGCCGAGGCTTACCAATAAATAATCCGGTATTTCGTTTGTTAAAAAAATTAAAGTGATACAGTTTAAATTTGAAACACCTTTCTAACCTCTTCTTTTTTTTTAAAATGGTGGTGAACATTGAAGAATAAGGAAACGTATTATTGAAACAGCATAGAGGCTTCTGTTTTTCTTGAAAATAAATATTGAATCTGAGAAAATATAGTGTATTACTTATTGGTACCTCTAATATTGTACGTTAAAAATTTTATTCCCCGTGGAGATTCTGCACGAAACTATCGAGATCGATCAAGCAGATTAATCTAGCTCCGGATCGCAATTTGCCGTCCTGTTTGAGTTATATAGTTATCGGTATTTTCCAATCTCCGTGTAATTTGCACGATTAACGCGCCTAATTATGCGCCTGTAAATGATCGACCGACGACCCAATTTTAATGGACTCCGTAATTAGCGTTTACCATAAAGACGCCACGCGTTCTCGGTGATGCTAATTTCCTCTATTCTGCGAAATTATTTTCTCGCTAATATCGAAGTTGGCCGAGTTTCATTACGTTAATTGCGGCAATTAGAAAATTCTTCGTCGCTTCATTTATATCGAATTTAGAAAATTTCTCATTTCATTACAGAACTGCCGGTCCCCGTGCAACTTTTCCTTCACACCACGAAACTTGGTTTCACAGTACGTTGAGCTTTCTGAATTTTTTCGATCGATTATAATTAGAAGATCTGCTACCTTGTTAATTCAGTTACTTCGTTAACATTTATACGTTCGTAGCACACTATCTATTGTAGTCTAACAATATATTAACAAGAACATTAATATGAACTAATATGTAAGAAGTTCGTTGAAAATAATGTGTATCGTAATTAATTAAATTACAATTAAATTTATCCAATATAATTTAACTTTTTTAACCTCTTCAGGAACGAATTTATTAAAACCAAAAAATTTGAAAAAATTCTGGAACAATTATCAAAGCTTCTACTACATTATACAATCATTTGTTAAGTCAACTATTTAAAACTCTTTATCGATGAAAATAAAAATTCGGAGGAAAGTTCGAGAAAACCGAGAATTTGTTTGGGTCGTCAAGGACCCATATTGCTTAAGGAGGGAATATTCTAAATAACGTTCATTATATCTCTTGGAATCGTGCTTGAATAAAGAAAATCTAAACGTACATATATGAGCCAGTGTCCCACAAGAGATTATTTTATAAAAGTCTGGACACTTCTATAGTCATCAGTATTTATAACACAATAGGTCAGACTAAATAAATAATATTTTTATATACATTAATATTGATAAAAGATTTACGTACTGCGTTATTCCACTTGTTTGTGTTTCATTCGATAGCACTATTCGAACACGTTAATTCACTACACATTGAATAATGCAACAATTCTAACCATATATGTACTAGACTTCACAATAGAACACAATATGCGAAAATAACTAATTTGAAAATACACGTTTCGCGACGACTAATATAAGATCCTTTATACACGAAGACCACGGGCAGACTGCCGGTTGTAGGACGTTGCAGATGTTCCTGTCCATATGCTTGATGGGCAAAAAAAAAAATATTGGACCCACCGAAAGTGTCATTCCACGAACCCTCAATCGGTCGACACGGAATGAAATTTGTCTCGTTGTAAACAATGACCGAGTGGGGACTTTCAATGTCGTTGCCAGCTAATATAATTCTCAATTTTTGGCCTGTTATGTCTTTACTAAGTAATTTATCATTGTTTAAAAGATAATTGTAACTTTCGTTTCTTCGTTTATTGGAAGGAATTCATTTTTTATCATTAGATAAACAACAAAATTTTGAAGAAAAAAATTCATACTTGTTAACGATTTTACTTCATTGTTTCTGATACGCCCATTTGTACCATGAATGCACAAAATCCTCCACTAAATAATTTTTTAATACAGATGATGACACTTATGGGATTAACCACATGGTCAAAATTATTGTCACGAAGTAATACTTTGAACCACACTGTATTAGAATATCCTATTTTTGATTTTTCAGAATAGAATAGAACTGACCTGAAATGCCCTGATAATTTAATCCTGCGTTGACATTCATCCCCAGCTGTATCCACCCCCAAACTGGCTTAAAGGGTTAACATTCTGCGATCCAAACTGATTTGAATGTCCTCCTCATACTGAACGGAATTGTTTTTGCAAAATGATATCATCAACCATATTACACTTGAATATTTCATCATAATATTATATAACAAACAATTGAACCTTATCGCAATTGAGGGAGTTGAAATGGTAAATGATGTAAGTAACAGAGCGTCCCACGTAACAACCGACCCCACTCACTGGTTAAATACAAATTTAGAAAATGACACCCTTTCAAAATTTAATTTTATTCATAAACCATTACAAAAGATATTGCAAATGACCTCCTTGTGTCTATGCATTTTTTGCACATGAAATAACATTCAAGCTTCCGTAAAATATAAAAATTATCTTTGTATAATACCTAACAATATATCACTTCCACCTTATCAATCACAACGAAGTTGGCATTTACGATTTCAGCTGCATCTTGCGATAATCGTAAAAGCTAAAATAAATTATTCTAGCACCTGTAGCGTTTACCATCACATTCAGCACGGAATTTACATCGTTCTTCATTAAATTAATAACGTTATATTCTTTTTTTTAAACTTTCGTTCGTCATTTACCATTTCAACTCCCAAATTTATCAGTATTCATTAAAAGATTCTTCTCACCGCAATCATTCCAATTATATCTCGCGCCAATCTACCTGTATGAATAATTCCAAAGGCAGGACAAGCAAATTGCCCGCAGGAAAAGGCAGGCCCACGCACTTGGGGAGTCAACGCACGCGAAATTTCGTTACACGGCCTGTGTTTCCCCATCGCGGGCGGAGAGTTTGAAAATTTAAAGGGTGCAAATGAGAACTGACGCGACACACCACCCTTCGTTCGATCGAGCTTCGTCCGCCTCCGCGACCCGACGTGAACACAACGGAAAAAAATTGTTCGCCCGGTTTTCCCTCACTTTTTTTTTTGTTTCAGAGCGACAATGTATCAGTAGAGACTTTGTCGCTCGCGATATATATTTTTTTCCCTCTCTGCGCCAACCCCTTAGCTCCGTAAACAGCGAATAACTTCTCTCCTCGTTTTTTTTTTTTCGCCACGTGACATCACTTTGCCGGATTACTATTTTTCGAGAGCTCGTTTATCCCTCCACCGCCGTCGAACTTTTTCCCTGCCCCCCCCCCTTCTCCTCCCCCTACGAACTTTCGTATTTAACGAGACTTGTGCGCAAACTGGAAAATATGGGCTCGGTAGAGTTTTTAACAATTACCGCTCGATCAACCCCTGTTTGGTCGACGTTCGAAGAATCTCGCGTAAATTGTTGTTTGAAAATTATTTGATAATAATTAGAATGCGGATTTTATGCGTTTATAGGGTAAACAATTGTTTAATAGTTGGTATATTAAATGGTTCATACAGTGGCCAGCGATCGATGTTTTAGGAGAAGAGGTTTCGGAATTGGCGACTTAGTCAACTATTTTGTAACATTTTGACTTTGAACGAATCAGAGAACAAAGCTGAATGTGATATTTATACCTTCTGAAAACTTGAAATTTTTCATACTAGTAATTACTATATAAGAATATAAGATGATAAGAATTTCCAAAATTTAACCTATTTTAGTACCCCCTTAACGAGATTTTTATTTTATTCGTAACATAATAGGAACCTTAACAGAATAAATAAATTTCTGTTTTGCTTTAGATTGGCAAACTAGACTCCACGAAATCAAACAATTTTCATATGAAAAATTTTTTTCGCAGTTTCAATATGTAGTTAGGGAAATAATAACGTGTATACAAAGTTATTAAATATACTAGTCGCTACTCCAATATTGTGTACCTACTATAAAATTGAATTAAAAAGAAAAAATTCAGACTATACACAATATTCTGAGAATATTCGTCGGTAAATCTCTCTAACTTGATTCTATTTTACTACCTTTAACACTAAACCTACCAAACCCTTCAAAAATCTAGAAATTAGAACGGTAAAACCGGTCATTTGACCGGTAATGGTAGATTTAGTGTTAAGGGAACCACCAAGTACTCTATATTACGTAAGGATTTTCATTCCTATACACTTTCGAGGTACCAAAACTCAAACGAAACACCCTCTGCAGTTATTAAAAGGGCCTCCAAGAAGGAATCCTACAGAAAATCACATCGCAAAAGGCGACGAGAATTTAACGAATAACAGTCACAAACCCCCAAAACTGTTTGGGGAATCAAAAAGCTTCGATTAATAAAGGCGTAAACAGAGACACTTTAGTTAGCGTTGCTTTTCAATGGTGCCCTCAAGAACTCGCGGCGGCGAAGCCCGGTCCAGCTATAAAATTCCAAGTGGTGCACGTTTGCCGCCACGATTCAGCGGATTTATCCACCTTTCTGCGATCTTTTTATTTCGCGAGAAGAAACAGTCCTCGGGCACGGGCATCCCGCGTGATGCTAAAACAACGTTCCACCGGAATCGAATAAATCACACTCACCCACGTGGAAGGCAACGAGGTGTCGTAATTCAGGATCGACTCCCAGCCGGGATCGTCTCGATACGTCCTGGTAGCCGAGCTTTTGGAGAAATTGGTCCTGTATCTCGAGCGGCTTCTCCTGCTGGGCCAATCTCCTGCCGTCTTCACCGCCATACTGGGGAAAAAAATAGAGGAACTTAATCTCTTAATGGATCCTGTCAATGCTTTAGTGAAGAATACCTTTATACATAGTGTCAAATTGAGTGGCAACTTTTTATAGAGAATGACACCAAACTGCGAGCTGTTCAACCCTTGCGTTTCTATGGCTGGGATATCGACCACCCTTGTTGACGAACATAGTTATTGAAGGGTGTATACAGGTGCGTATCCACGTATCGTATCACCGTTGTATATCAATTTGGACGGACAAGCGTTGCGTATGAAAATTTAACGGATGTTTCGAATGTTTCAAATAGTTCCATCGAGGTTTCGAATGTTTCAAACATTTCGAACAGTTCGAACAGTGTTTGGTTTGGTTGGATCAGTGTTTCTGATATTTCAAATAGTTTGAACATTTCGAACTCTCGAAAAATCAAATATTATCACAGAAAAGATTTGTATTTGTATTACGTAAGCATTTTGTAGAAATAATAACTTTATAATAATAACATTCAAAACTGAATACAAAATGTTATCCAACAGCAAATATATCAGAATATTTACTACAGGTCAAAATGCGTTGCTCGAGCATTCTGTTTGCAAGGATTAAAACGTATGAAAAACACACTCAATGTTTAAACAGTGCAATTTACGATCATGTAACTGCAATCCTCAGTGGAATAATGATCTAAACGAGTATACAAGTCAACAGGTAAATTTTTTGTATTCTTACCAATAAAAGTTTAAACGGTTGCATTTTATCGCGATACTGTCTCAAGGATAGTAATATCTGAACGTTGAACGTGTAAAATCTCATCGATAACCAGGAGGATCGATCGACATATTTCAAACCGCGTATTAAACAGAGAAAATATTTCAGCGATGGTTGAAGGATGGCAGCTCTCGAGGGGCTCTCAGCTGAAAATTGAGGGAGATCCATTCCTCGGAATGAGATCGAACGCACGGTGATTCTACGAGATCGAAAAGGGCGTCGAGTGGCGGGAGGGAGAGTTTGAAAAAAGAAAAAAAAAACGAATTCACGTCGCTACGTGACGTCGGAAGATCAAAGTTTCCTGGACTCCGGCTGATTGCACCTAAAAAGGGTGTTTGACCAAACTACGACCTTTTTCCAAGGGAAAACTTTTCGATTGACGTGACGCTGAAAGCTCCGCTTGACGATTCACGGAGCACGGGCTTCTTATGGGGGGGTGGAGCTGTCTTACAGGGACAAGCTTGGATCTTAAACTTCGAAACTCACCGAACCCAGTCAAGGGGCAGTTTTATGGTTGGCGATATTAAAATCCCGCTGGGACGAGAATGATAACGCTATGGCTGCGAATTCAGATCTCCATTTCGAATGAGAGCGACGACGATCGATAGTCATTTTAAATTCGTTCGAGTTAACCCTTTGAGTGCTCACTAAAATGACCAGAATATGGTAAAGTCGAAGGTCCTCTTGTTTTATGGGTTAACCCATTCATTGTATTATTTGGTACCTTGTACAAACATTTTTTTTCATACAATCAAGAACCAACAGTCATTTTAACACTAGAACTACCGAAAAACTTATTAGACAATTGTAGCATTCATTTCGGTAATAAAGGATACAACTTTTTCTATAAATGTTGTCAATACAATATTTTAAAGAAATGAACCTACACTTTCAGAAAATTTGACGAACTGAGAATGCATTCGTTTTTAGACATTTTATGTGTTTATTCGTTATATTATAATGTGTCAGTCTATCTAAATCTCTTATAAAGCGAACTGTTTATTTTAAGCATTTTTCTACTATGTTGACCGTACGACGTACGGATTAAACACTCAAAGGGGTAAAACCCAACTGTGGTATAAATTAAATATCATTGAAAACATTTTACGAAGTTATAAAGAAATTATTTTTCATCTACGGTTAGATTAATTTTTAAATTGTAGAGTCTCTACCATGATATGGGATATTAGTTCCATCCCTCGAGTATAAGGGATGAGTGATTATATTTGTGAAACGTGTTTTTCGAGCACCTGCGAAACAGTAATCCATCCAGGATGAAACCTTATTAGCATTTTCAACGTTAAAACGATAATAAAATTATTTCGCGAGTGCTTTGTTCTAAATATCGTAGTACAAAAATTAACAGATAAGTTAATATTACGTGAGAGAATAACTTTTAAGAAGTATTGAAAAAGAGTTCTGTTCTGTTTCCAATATTTCTCCCAAGGGACCTGCATCTACAGTGCACTAAAGTCTCAATTATATGTAATTATTAAAATGCAAATTTTATGCATTTATAGAATGTCCGTTTGACTAAAAATCAGCACAGTGATAAAACATAATAAAGTTCTTATGGAACGTTTATTTTATTTAAACGTGAAAAAATCCATAACAAGATAAATGTATTCATGTTGGACTCCAGTATCTGCCAATTAACTAATAAAAATGTATATTTGTAATAACATCAGCAGTTTACATATTATATAATAAAATTTCAATTAGTCTGATGTAATAGTTAATAATTTTACTTGTTCATATAAATTTGTGAAATGTTGTACATACAATTGCTTCAAATATCAGAATCAATTTTTAATTTAATTTCGATAAAATGTCCATGAACATCGCGAAATTCTAAATGAAATATGTTGTTTAACTGAATACAAATTATTCTGTTCCAAAAAATAACGATTTCTCATATTTAAAGATTTTGTTCCCGAAACATCGGACAAAATTTACGGCGGACGCTCGCGGTGATAAAAATAAAACAGGTAAACGAAGCGGAAGCAGTCGCATCGCGGCGTTTTTGGATCACGAAAAATTTCTGTTTATTGACACAGAAAAGCGCCTCGTGGCGCTCGTTAAAAATTTATTCCGCGAATTATTAAAAATAATCGGCCGCGCGCGCGCGTATATACTGTTCCTCGAAATTTCGTTTTATGCGGCGTAATTACACTGCGTCGTTACTGTTGGAAACGAATGTACGATTCAAGAGAATGAAATGTAATTTTTTTTCGAACACAATTCTTTTATGTTACCATATATCGTTCACATAGAAACGCATGTTTCGAAGATTTATCTTATAAGTAGACTGTGGATTTTATGCATTTATAGAATATCCGATTGTCTAAAATTTAATAAATAAAACATTTCTGAAGCTTTATTCAGGCTTTCTTTTATTTTAAATTTTCTGGACCCATTAACAAGGTAATTAAATTCTCCTTTTTATTCAGTTTCGAGAAATTAATCCATAAAGCTATGTATTTGCATAAACATTCGTAGTCTATTTATAATTATCAGTCATATAAAACGTAATTCCTTTTCCATTATAAATCACTCGATGTAATATTGAAATTGTACATCATTATTTTTAAGAACATATCCATTTTACACATAACACGATAGTTACGTTCCTAAAAATTGCCGTTGTAGGTTTCAATAACTTACAGAACTACACGATTGCACACAATTGCTCTAACCGCGTCAGAGCAAAATCGTGTTGACGAAATACCGTGTCATTCAAGGGTTTCCCTAATTCTTTAGTCGTGTTATGGGAACACAATGTTATACGGGTATGGATTGCATCTATCTATTCTGGTACGATCTCCACGTTCATGTCATTATAATAAATGCATACAATGCATCGTGTATTAATTAACGACGCGTTGATACAGCTGTTCGGCGGAGCTTCCTGCTAAATCTTCATTAGATCAGTCTGTATGCGCATTCAATGCAACGAGGACAATTGCTTGTCTTCAACTGGCGTGCTCTTTTATGGTAATACGGGGGCGCGCTTCGGCGAGCTTTCCCGACGACGACGTCGACGGTTCCAAAGGAAGTTACGCCGAATTGCTGAACTTACGGGAAAAGGGGGTCCACGAATTCTCGGAGTAAGTCACGGGAGTATTGCTACGAATCCTCTGTACACGTAGACACACCTTGTACGCATTAGGTCAGTGCACATTAAACATGTGTTTGCCTGATTGATGCATTTGTATCGGTGATTATTAGACTGCGGATTTTATGCATTTATAGCATGAATTACCATGTGAAATATAGCAGAGAATTAAAATTCGATAGAGTTATGTAAATTTTTTATTTTATTTCTAGCCCAATAGAATCCCTGAGAAAGGATAGAATTTTTTATTTTTACTCCTCCCTTTGTAAATCACTTCATAAAATTAGATTTTGCATAAAAATCCACTGTCTAATGATTATAAAAGTGGTGTTAAGTCACGTTTTTTTTTCGTTTTGAGATATGTACTACTTGTTTAAAAAAGCCTTAATATTTGTTTTTTTTTGTGTAAATTCGCGAAGATCGTACGTTATTTCCAAATGATTTTCATAAATTTTTTTTGTGTTCTTCAATTGTTTTTCTAGCGGAGTAAATATAGAAATATGAAAGAGTTAGAAAGATGAATATGTTTAATTAGTTGAAACTTAAAATAAACGACAAGTTCAAGACGCTTTTGTTAATAATGCTTCTATTATTAAAACAAAATTGTGTTGGTATAATATATACATATGTGAAAGCGTTTTGCACCTCGTAACTCGTTCAGTATGATTTTCCATAAAATCAATTGCCTCATTAACTGGTCATATGAATTTAAGTGGTACTTCACAGTAATTAAGATGATTCTGTTGTAATTAACGTTTACCACCATCGCTGCTAACAATCCGCAAATAATTTAGAATTTCCAAGCAGTAAACAATAGTCATTAAATACTAGCATTGTCAGCAGTGACTGAAAAGTAATTAATGTTCCCATGAAATCGTGAATTACCGAACTAAATTTTGGCCACTCTAACATTACAGAAACAATTTTCATTTAACTATCGTTAATTACTTTACAATTAACGACTACGTATATACACTATTTGTTACCTCTTTCCGAGTTCCATTGCTGCAAATAGATATAAACGATTTATCTGCATAACCATTATTAAAAATACCAGAACTTATCAAAATTTTTTAAATTCCTCAAATTTGCTATAAACTAATTGCAAACAATTTGCAATCCACAGAAT